CGTTTCATTAAAGAAGAACCCGTCCAGAGGACCTATACTATTTTTTTTTTCCTTTGATTTTTTACCTGGATTACTGAGATGCATCAGGACATATATGTCTCAGAATTATCTGAGCTCACCCTGAGCCTGAGAACCACCTGCCTCCACTCGTTTCTTTTCTCAGCTGTTTCAGCTCACAGAACACAAATACAGATTTATATAATAAACATCAGCTAAACTGGGATAAGTCAGGCATATACTAAAAAAATTCAGACATTTTAATAATCATTTCCTGTTAAATAAATAAATCAAATCAAATAATTTCCACTCCGTTTTAGTTACTTAGTTGTTTAATTGCTAGAAATTCTCCAAAGAAAGTTTTTCATTAAACACAAAAATCATACATACAGTGATGACTTCTGACTCCTTGTTCACGTTCGTTTGTTGTTCTAACTGGCTTTTAATGAAGCAACAGCAGCACGTTGAACCTGCAGCTATAAGCTGCATATTTGAACTTTTATTACCATTTTGCTAAAAGAAACATCAAACCAGTTCTTTTGCTGTGATTTTAGTGTGGTGACTTTAGTTTTGGTGTTTGTTAATGCAAAAGAAAATCGTTAGCATTCTATTTAAAATTCTACAGTATGATATATAAAAGTACTGAAATAGTAATGTTTATATTTTAAAACCTGAATAACTTTGACTGAAAGCAGATCCCAACTGTTTGGTGATCTAAATACCTTTACCATGTTATTAGAAAATGCCAGAAAAATATTTTTTGTCTCTCATGAAACTCAAAATCAGACATTTCAGTTTTGGTTCMTATTCCTGTTATGTTAATGCCAACATGAGTTATTTTTCACAGATGAGTCCAATCCTGCATGTTTTAGAGGTTTCTCTGCTCCAWCACACCTGATTTAATGATTGAATAAGGCATTCATTTAAATCAGGTGTGTTGGAGCAGAGAAACCTCTAAAACAAGCAGGATGATGGCCCTGAAGGACCAGGATTGACCAAGTCTGCTGTAAATAAACCACAGAACATCAGTGGGCGTGTCTCTTCAGAACCCTAAAAACTCCTTTCAGGGATTTCAATGACTTTAAAACTTCTAGTTTCCTGTCTTAAACTGGTTGTTTGATCGTTGCCACCTGGTCCCTGTCTTGGTCTTCCCACTCTTATCCTTCACATGCTAACCCTTTGTGTTTTTGTTTTTATAGGAAATGGACGAATCAGACGAGGGGAGGGATGCAGATGATGTTGAGGTATTTGAACAGCCACTTGTTGTGGGACAGGCTGGGTTTAACGAACAGTATTGTTCACTAGATGGTGCTGTGACTTCAGAAATGTTTGGTGAGACCAGATCAGCTGCTGGTATTTAAATTATSGGTACCACTGTACAATAAGGCTAACCCTTGCCAAATAGTGAGCTAAAAGTGTTCATGTAAATGTCACATCTAAAGGTGCTTATTAAACATTTCAGACTAGTTTACTACCTTGTAAGCACAATAATTTATTGAAAACACATATTTTACAAATAATATTGTACTGTATTAATGCATTATACATATCCATAGTAATCAAGGGGAGTCTTTTTGTAAAATGTTGAACAGAATAATAATAATAATGTCATAACAGAGCCTTATAAATAGTGTTTTGTTTTACAATAAGGCTCCTTTATGGCATTTATACAAGTTTATTAGTCATTAATAAATGGTGTACCTATTGTCTTACATTTTACAATAAGGCTCCCTTTGACAGTTGTTAATATGTATAAGTAATATAGTTCAATATTATTTTTAAATATGTGTTTCCAATACATAATTGTGCTTGTAGACCTAGTAATATGTACACAAACAGATTTGGCTCACTATTTGGCGAGAAACCGGACAGTTTTGTCTCTTTCCTGTCCTTAATTAATCCATAATAAACATTTATTAATGGTTTATAAAGTGTTTACAGATGAATCAATAACCTATCTATAAACTATTCATAAGCCATGTATAAGTGGAGCCTTATTGTGAAGTGGTACCAAATGATGYTTTCAGTTCCTTTGCTTATGTGTACCCTGCACTTGTGCAGTAATGAAGGCCTCAGCTTGTTGTTGCTGGTTGCTGCAGCACTCTGTACCCAGGCCACTCTGTGTTTTTATACTAAACCTATAAGAACTGAAGGACATGTGTCTTTCCTGCTGTACGGTTGGTAGCTGGTCACTAAGGTTAATGTAACTCACAGTGTTGGTGTCAGTAAAGCTCTACTCTGTCTGAAGTGTAGCTTCACAATCCGACTTTGATAAACAAAAATCTGATAAGCTTTGTGAGTTTTGTTTGTTCAGTGAGCCAAGACGGGGAGATAACATTGTAACAATGTAAACATTCTGAAGTTTTCTACTGATTCTTCTCTCAATAATTCATGTTCTTACATGTTGACATGAATTCTGAAGGAATATAAACATGTTTTCCAGGAAAGTCACTGATTTGTAGGATTGTACCTAATACATTTATGTTCTGACATGTTGTCTTTCTGTAGGATGTTGTCTAGCCTGTGGCTATAAAAACACTTTGAATGGCTGTAGATTTATGCTCATTAGTTGACAAAATGATAATGAGTGTTTTTATTGGCTGTCTGCTTATTATCTRTATTGCTTGACTGTGAATGTTAGCTGCAGCTTCATTTTATTCAGTTGGACCTCAGTTATTTAACTGGCTTTTAGAAAAACAGGATTAACCTATTATTATCTCTGAAGAAGTAACCTTGTGAAACTCAACCAATTACATTTCCTACAATAAGAACAACAGAAGAAGAAGAAATGCCTCCAAAAGTTGTAAGAACAATGAAAAGCTTCATGTAGTTTGAAAGAACCTGTRATGTTTGTATTTAGCTCTGACCATTACCACATCCACGTAGAGCCCATCGTTTCACATTCTCATGCATTTTTAAAGAAAAATGTTTTGTCCCAGAAAGTGTTGAGGCAGTGGTGGAATATAATTATCAGTCTCTTCTTACTTTGACATAGTGCTTTCTTTTATCTAACAATAGATCTAACTTGGTCTGTCAGAGACACACAAGACCTGAGTCTCGACTTGTTAGAGACAACAACTCAAACTGAAATTATAGTAATAACTGAAGCAGCAAAAGGGTAAGCTATTCTGATGGTTCAAACTTCAAAGTAAACTAAAATAAACTTGTTCRTCCATCAAAAAAATATTCTAATCAAATAGAAATTTTACAAGTTCAGAAAGCAAAGAGTGTTTTGACTTCATGCAAAGTGTAAAAGAACTTCTATAAGTTGTAGGGTTGGGCAATAGTGGWAAAAAATAATCCTGATTAATTGTGGTGTTTAGCCGATAACAATTAATATGACAATTAATCCCCTGGAGTCCCTCTATGTCCTAGTCACATGACCAGTTAAATTGTGTTAAAAGTATAGTTTTCAAGCTATGCATCTATTTTTAACTTGTTTTGATAGACCAAGTAAAACTGGAGTTAGGATAAGTAATTGACAGCGTTTTATAAATGCTCATCATATTTGAAGTGCATTGTGGGAGGCAGTAAAAGATGGACAGATTCACAG